GGTACAGTAGTGGGCGTCGTGTTCGAAAGGTCTCCAGTCCAAAACCGGGCGGGTGCGGTGTACCCTCCTCTGTGCTTTTGCAGCAAATAACAGCTGCATACAAGAAATCAGGGACTCTCTGCTTTTCCATTGAATGTGGAAGCGTGGTGCTTTCGTTGCCCAAGAAGACAAGAGCATTGATGAGTTCGACTCGAGGTTGCAACCTGTAATTCCCCACCTCCAACCAGGAAAAGCCAAAGAAAACGCCCCCTCAACTTGAAATTGCCATTCGTCAACAGGGGGGAGTCTTCTCAACTACCAGTTCCTTCCGCGTTTACGGAGTGACGTCAAGTCAGCGTGGCTGCACGCAGCGTCAGCGCTCAACAAAGTGGCACTGACTTTGGAATGCGTTAGACTGTATAAGCAAGTATTTGCTTTAGATCCATCAACATATAGACTTATTTGCTTATTAAATCTAAAACTCTGACTAGACAGTTGGCTGTCTGAGGAAAACTTACAGCGCTCATCACAGTTTGCACTCTAGCTTCTGGCTAACAATAGCCGAACATGGAGGCGCGCCTATTTTTTAAGTTTTTTCCCCCGCCTCACGGGTCGAACGTGCCCAGGTGGAAAATGACATCATTCCGACTCACTAACAACCACCTGTAGGCAAGTGGAAAGCAGAAAGAGCTCTCGCAAGCATACAGAGAAGCCACTCTGCAGACTGGATGCCCAAGCAGGTGCTTTTCATATAGTTGATTCCTCCCTGCTCTGTTGTTCCACTGCCTGTCCACACAGCACTTGAACATCCAGGCTAAAGCTCTTGCGTTGGCCGGGAATCGAACCCGGGTCAACTGCTTGGAAGGCAGCTATGCTCACCACTATACCACCAACGCCATGCAGAGCCTTCCAACTCTGCTGAGTGAATGTTCAAGCATGTTCTTTTCTCTTCCCCAGAACCCAGGCAGCAGCTAAGCGACCGTCATGTTGTGGTTTCTGTCGTGTAGTGGTTATCATGTTCGCCTCACATGTGAAAGGTCCCTGGCCCGAAACCAGGCAGAAACAGACTTTGTTGCTTGAGCTTTGCAGAGGCTGAGTGTCGAGTGCAGGTGTCTGCAGCAGCCGCTCCTTTAAGAACACGCGAAAGGTCCCCGGTTCGAGACCGGGCAGAAACAAGCTGAGTCTTTTGAGCTTTGCTGCAATAAGTGACCAGCTGTCATCTCTGTAGTATCAGGTCCGGTAGGAACAGCCCGAACGTGACTGGAACAGTTTCGGTACAGTAGTGGTTGTCGTGTTCGCCTACGTGCAAAAGGTCTTCCGTCCCAAACCGGGCGAGAGCGGCTTCCCCACCTCTGTGCTTTTGCAGCAAGGCAGATAACAGCTGCTTACAACAAATCAGGGAGTCAGTGCTTTTCCATTGAATTTGGAAGCATGGTGCTTTCGTTGCCCAAGAAGACAGGAGCATTGATGCGTTCGACTCGAGGTTGCAACATGTAATTCCCCACCTCCAACCAGGAAAAGCCAAAAAGGAAATTGCCATTCGTCAACAG